CCCAACTCTCTTTTACACGGTTAATTAAAAAGAAACAAATTAAACATCAGCGTCACCAAAAAACACATTTAAAAAAAGAATCACAAATAATTTTTGCTGGCACAAAATTGGCATTATATTAAAATTGAGGTTAAAAAGTCGAAAGCCCCGTGTTTACGTTGTTTAATTCATTCTACATAAATACATCGTATAAAGAAAGATTTAACAAATTCAACATCTAATTATCAATTTAACAACGAAACTAAAATGTGAAAGTTTAAAAAAATAATATAAAATTAATTTTTTTACCACAAATAAGAAAAGTGAAGTTACATAACGATCATGTTAATTTCTGTGATTTCTTACATATTTTAACTTCCTTTTTTGTGTGGGGGTTTATATACACGTATGTATGTTCTAAAAAATTTTTCTTACTGCAATATTGTATATATAAATTCTCCGTTGTTTCAGATGGAATTATAAGCTGATATAAAAGGACAAGAAATATTTTCCACGTTGTTACTCTAATGGGTCGAATGTCAGATGATTCATAAACATAACGCTTACTTCAATTATATAATGACAGTATAATTGTAACGTGTGAATATGTAACAATAATTCACCTATTTTTTTATTATTAATCTTTAAAAAATCAGAATCTGAGAGTCTGTTACATCATGCAAGACAATATTATAAAATGATTGAGTGGCGATTTGAAATATTACAATAGTGTAGCAAGAGATTTGCGATAGGAAGGGTTAAATTTTGTTTTCAAAAAATTTGGAAACTTTTTTATTTTGCTTATCCCTAAAATTTTAGTAATAAAATATAAAACGTTCGTTTGTTGTATTTTGTTTGCTCGTTCGTTCGTTTGTTATCTATTTATATATTTTATCATATATTATACATCAGTTGAGATAGATTGAAAATTTTATGAGAACTTGTTCCAGGCTCGATAAATGAAAATATTATATCAATAAATCAAAATAAGAATGGACCACATTTGATTGTTTCTTTTTTTCATCGCCATTTGACGAAATTGAGGAGAACGCTCAACAATTTATTCATATGTTTTCATCGGCACATCTCTCCTCAAAATATACAACTAAAACATTTTCAATCCTATGCAACGGAGTTCCAGCGTTTAGTAACATAATTGTTGAGGCATCCGAGATGAGTTTTGAGGTTGTTTACGATGTGGAAATTAACTGCATGTTAACAGTTGTTCGATCACAATGACGGCAATTGAACTTAATTGAAACATGAAAACTAAATAAACACTTAAAAAGCGGTTCGTAATGCAGAAGTTAACAAACAGCTTAATGTGATTCCGTTCTTTGTCGGCTGGATTACGTTGTTTGGCCTGGCAGCAGTTTTAAAATTTCAAATTTGTTGCTCAACTTCAAAACTGGTCATAAAATAGCTTATGGAACTGTTCGAATGTTAATAATCATATGAGGTGTCGAAATGTAATTTTGTTGTTGCTGTTGTCAATATCATCATCATCATTATCATCGACAACAACAACAACATTCCTGCCATCAACACAACTGGAAGAATTAAATTAAATATGCGAGAACAAGTTACAGTTACAGGTTAAAATACATGTTAATGCTATGTTACATGATGATACATTTAACATGTTTCATGCTGTACATGCTACATGTTGTTACACGTTGCTTGCATTCTTCAGAACTCAAAACACGTTACTTATCTCAATTAACTTTTCGTAGTTTCTTCTTTATTTATTATTAGCAGTGCACATGACGGATGGGAAATTGGCGTGATGTTTTATGATGGGCTTTTTATACCCGTGCAATTTCCGTCTGACCAGCGATGAAATATTTTTGGCTATTTTCGAAGAAGATTTTAAAGAATTGAACCATTGGCACGAAATGTAGTTTAGGAACAATTTCAACAAAATTATTTTCAACAGTGAAACGACGCTCTTATTTTTTTTTAAATAAAATTTATTTATATTTCAAATTGAAAATTTATTTATTTCATGATGTGCAGTTAGGATAGGAGCTACATTTATTTTTCTATTTTCGTCGTTAACTCAGCAGAGTTTTTCATCCTCAAAAATAACGCTTGTTTTCCAAAGTTTTCACAATCGATTACAAATTAAGTGGATTTCGTTGTTCTCTTCTAAAAATTTCAAAAGCGTGGATTGAATAATTTTTGCGGGCTCTTTTTCTTCAAAATTATTATCCAAAAAACAAAAACGAAAATTTTTAAAAATTGTAAAATTAAAAAAATTCTGGAAGAATATATCTCATTTCTTATCTTAGTAGTTGTCCACGGCTTTTTATTTTGTTTGACGAAAGACCGATGCTGTTTTGTACTTACTTTTTTAACCAATGAAAAAATAAATAGCTGAGTAGGAAAGATTTTGATGAAAAAAACGAACAAAATATGGTTTCAAAATTCGTACAACAATTATTCAACTCAATCTGTATAGAAGAGTTTTAAAAACATTATTGATCTTCACTATAAATTCATTTTTTCTTGAGATAAGTGTAGAATGTAGAAGTTTCAAAGTTACTAACATCGTTAACCCATCAACAACCAATAAACAATGACATATCAACAGCACATTAAAAACATCATTTCTACAACAACCTATCAACAATATCACATCAATAATAACATTACATCAACAAAATCTAATTAAAAACAACACATCAACAATATCACATCAACAACTAAACGCAACACATTGACAATACAATCTATCGACAAATTTTTTTCTTTATTTAAAGGAAATGCCAAAGCAGCGAATCGTTCATTAAACGAAAGCAATCTTGCGAGTTTAAAAAAAATTTTTATAGGAAGATGATACTTTGATGAATATGATTCGTAGATAGATGATCCTTAGATAGATGATCTTTGGGTAGATAATCCTAAGATGGATGATCCATAGTTAGATGATTCTTAAAAAGATGACTTTTAGATAGATGATCCTTAGATGGGTAATTTAAGTTTCTATTTGGTGAATTTTATTCCATTTGATCAAAACACAATAAATTTCACGTAACAAAATTATTTTTTCAAGTTAATCATTCAAGTAAGAAACATGCTAGGTTAGTTTTAATAAAAACTTGTTTAAATTCGCAGCTGATTAATTAATCCTTAATTCATTAATTAATTTATTCATTCATTCATAATTCATTCATAATTCTTTCAATCAATCATTCACTAATCATGAAATAATAAAATAATCAATTTAAAATTTTTTTATAGTTATTTATTAATGCTAGAAAAGAAATTTTGCAGACCGTGTCTAAAAATATTTCACACAAATTCTATCGAAATGGTATAGCACAACGCTCAGCCGATGAAAATGTTAAACACGAGCCACTTCAATGGACAAATATTACGGCATTCATTGCACTGGCTGTCTATAAAATAATGAATAATGTTTTTAAATTTTGCACATTATTGTACAAATCTCATTCTAAATTATTTCACAGGTACTCAACAGATATGTTAATCAAATCTATGCGCCACGGTTTACCATCGACTTCTTATTCTCATTTTTTCTCAACTCGTTTTAAGCACCCTGCTTTTGCACTTTTTGGCCCTTTTCTCTAGAAGTCTCTACCTCCTTCTCTAACTACTCTTCTATCACTCGCGAAATTTCGAGCGGACCCAAAGAGCCATCTGTTTGTAAAATTCACTGAGGAACGCTGTTGGAAATTGCCGAAATAACCCTTTTCTTTTTTATTCGGTATACATTATATATATATATCATATATATATATATATATAGATAGATATATATATATATATATATACGTTTATACTTATATTTATATATATATACGTTTATACTTATATTTATATATATATATATATATACGTTTATACTTATATTTATATATATATATACGTTTATACTTATATTTATATATATATATACGTTTATACTTATATTTATATATATATACGTTTATACTTATATTTATATATATATATACGTTTAGACCGACAGAATGCGGAGTAATAATTGATCAGTAAATATTTTAATAAATAAAATCCTATCAACATTCTTAATATTTAAACTTATCAACTATAAAAATTCACATAAAATTAGACAATTTAGTCTAAGTATTAAATAATACATTATATAAAATTATTTGGCCACGAACATTACAAAACACGACAGTTCAGCAAGTAACCGGCACAGATACTCATACAGATAGATATAAGTTAGCCTTATAACATGAGATTCGAAATTGTCTGAATATTATTACTGAACTGTGAAAATATAAGTTAGAGTTAGAATATTTTATGAAAAACAAATTTAGTTTGAGTCGAGATGTCTTTAATGCTGAGAGCAATCTTATTACCCGTGCACAGCCCAGCACAACGTTACTGTTAATAACGTTATGCCATCAATTCAGAGGTTCATTTTCAGCTCTAACTTCTCAACAAAAAGAAGCGAAACAATTTTGAAGAAAATGCGTTTAATATTATTTCCACACTATTGTGTAAAGTTTATTTATAATACTTATCAAAAATACTTTTCTATTTCAAAATGATCGACCGCCTACTGTTACTAATGTACGATAAATACTAATATAAAAGTAATTGTGGTGGTTTTTAGTAACTACAAAATTATTCGTGCATATATTGAAATATGATACACACACGTTGGTCAGAAATGCTGCATAAGTTTCAGGACGAGAAAAATGAAAATAATCTCAATTTGTGAATGTTTGTTCTTCTTTTTGAATTTTTGGATTGCTATCCAATTGTTAGATTTGAATGTTATTGTATTTCGTGCTGCCACCAAGCAACCTTACTCTCCGTTTGTTTACTTTCGCAGATATGAAATTTGTAGTTTGCAGTTGTTTATTTTTTTCAAAATCAATGTTGTTGATTGCTAGCGAAGATAATGTCGTTAGTGCTCGTCATGTTGTTAATGTAATGGTTATGTTGTTGTTGCTACTGCTGTTGTTGATGTTGTTGTTGTTGTTATTGTTTTGATGTTGTTGTTGTTGATGTTGTTGTTGTTGTTACTGCTGTTGTTGATGATGATGTTGTTGTTGTTGTTGTTGTTGTTGTTGTTGTTGTCGTTGCGTCCTGAAGTATTCAACTTCAAACTCGGGAATCTCCAGGCAGAGGTGTCCGTACAAACGTTCACTCTCGACTGCCTCGAAAAATTTGTTGAAGTCCTTCAAGAAAGTATCAATTATAAATGAATTGTGAATGAATTCTAAAATAACTATGAATTAGTTATGAATGCTTTTTAAATTAACTATAAACTACTAATAAATAAATTGTCAATTAATTATCAGTTAAGTAATTTTTTGTGATTATAGTTGAAACGAAGTACCAAAATATCATTCAAATTTTGTTATCCAAAAACTATTGACGGGATGTTGTAAATGGGAATATGGGGGATTGAAGATGAAGTGTGTGAAGAAAAAACCGAGTTTCAAAATTTATAAAGGCAAACAATTTATTGAACAATTAAATAGGTTTAAACAATAAATTTACGTTTTATATTTTTATATTCATTAATTTACATTTAAAGTAAAAAAAAATTAGTAAAAAAAATAAATTAAGTCTGACTCCTCTGTACGAGTTGCCACTGAAAAGTTGGGGAGGAAGGTTTCTGCTGTGGTTGTCGGGACTGTCCTGAGATGCTGGCGCCAGGGAGCTGAGAAATTGGTAGAGATTGTTCTTCTCGTGCTGGTGGTTGGGGTCTGCGAGGTCCACCTCTTCATATTTGATCCGCTTGCTTTCCAGAACCCTCCTTATGTAGTCCTGCTCTTTCTTCATCTGCCAAAATGAACGTTTAATGGCTTAATTAATTTCCAATGAATCATAACTAAAAGTATAGACGGGTGTAATATTTACAAATGTGGCTGAGATTCAAATTGAAATTCCGACTAGAACTAAAATATTTTTCAAAAAAGAAAATTTTATAAAATAACTCAAATTGAATTTTCATATAATAAAAATTATACGCTGAAAATTTTGTTGTTTATTTCAAAATTCTTCTCGTATTTGAATGTAATAATATTAATAATAAGAATAGTTATTATTATAATAAAAATATGTAATTTATCCAAATAACATCTTACAAGCTTTCATTGAGAAATTAACTTGGTGCAATTTGATTTAATTATTATTGCTATCTTTCCCAAATTTAGGCCGTGTGACAAATTAATCATCGTTACATTTATTAACATGACAATAAGCATAAAAAGTAAAACAACTACATTAATCAAGTTTAATTAGTCCAAGTGAAAAAAACATTTTTAAGATATCTCAATAGATACTTCCAAAATGCTCCAATGATTTAATATGATACATCAATGAATAAATACCATCATGATACTCTAACGAATAAATACCATCATGATACTCTAACGAATAAATACCATCATGATACTCCAATTAATAAATGCTATCATGGTACTCCAACGAATAAATACGAACATGATAATTCCCTGATGTTCTTGAAACGTACAATTTGATACTCATCGCTCCGGCTGAACGGTTTTTTTCTTTAGACTTTATAATAATAATCGCCAACAAATTAAAAATAAATTTTAAAAAATCAGATAAAAATTAATTGTTGTTATTATTAGCGCATAAATTAATTTTAATATCCCAAACTGCAAACAAACAAGCGTATGATCAGAGAAATGATAATGAAAACAAACGATCCCAGCGAGAAACACAGAACTCAGGCCGGTCTAAAATAAGCACTGCTGCGTGTGAGCGCCCTGCATGGCGGCTGTGTATGCCGAAATAAAAAAAAAAAACAAATGAAAATTTTTCATGTTGCATCTGCAACATGAAAAAACTTTTCTCCGACCTAGCTGCTTGCTTGCGTACAATACACAATATATAATACTATGGCAAGCATCGAATAAACAACTTCTTAATGATATGCTTAAGACACATATGTATGTGTTTGTTTGTGTGCATGAAATCCTTGAAATTTCCAGATTATAGTTAATAATAAATGAGAAAAAAAAAAGAAAGTACAAATTATACCTTTCAAATATTTAATGGTTCATTAATTTGGTAAACTAGTAATTTTTGTAAAGAGTTCTTGCTGATAGCTTAACTTATTTAATACAATTAACCATGCAATTTAATAGGATCAATATCTGTAAAGAAATGCTTCAAATAATTTACAAGTTTATTTAGTCAGCAATTTAAATAATATTTGTTCTTTAAAACCAAATCACATCGCTGATTGTTAAATAAAATTAAGAGTCAACATTACATTTTGAAGTTTTTAATTTGATGTCTGTTGGTCACAAGTTATTTTTTCATTAAAAAAAATTAACAAAACTATCAAACATACAAACATTTTGTGTGTGCAGTTGTTTTTGAAATTGCGTATGTGCCTGCCAAAAAAAGCAAAGTTTTTATTTTTATTAACCTCACATCCATCCATCGTGTAGATGGCACTGTATTTTGGAGTATCATGTCTTGACACATTTTCATAAGAAACGCTGGGTTTCCGTCAAAATAAATTTGTGGTCTGCTTTTCATATTTGTGGACCAAATTTTTGAAGTTTCTTTCGTTGAATGGTTGAAGCTGATGGATGGAAAGGCATTGTTACATTTCTACGTAATTTTTGGTTGCATCAAATTACCTCCTGAATGACCTTTTGTACATTTCTGTTTGTCTCGCTCCGGGTATTAAATATGTTTAACTTTTATCGTCCTTTATGTTACAAGTTTTTCATTAGAAATAAAATGATCATTTTTATATGATTATATCTTTAATGTATTTAACGTTTAAAAATTAGCCTATAAGTAAAACCCAACCAAACTTACAAAATTCATAGTGTTCTGAAAAAAAAAATTTATAATTACTATGAAATTTGTTTTACAATTTGAAAGAATGTTTATTTAAATGTAGCAATGATATAGCAAAATGTTTCAAACCATCATGTTATGAAATTTGATGATAATTGCTCTATTTTGTCGTTGGATGTTAAGTCGAGAAGCCAGTTACCCAGAAGTGATTTCAAATTGATTGATTGATTTCCAGTTGGTCAAAATTAATTAATCAGTTATCATTTTTATATTACTAAAAACAAAGTTAATTTTGAAAAACAACAATATTTTAATTCAAATGTTTTAGTTTAATTTTTTGATTTATTTTAATTTATTTGCCTATCAAACTTTTAAATATCCCGGATTCATATATGTATGAATGAAACTTTTAAGCTAATCTCCAGCCATACAACCTTTTACGAAAGAGCTACTTCGCATGCTACTCTTTCTGGCATACAAAAACAGTGAAGCTCATCTCTAATGTCAATAATGACGCGTTGGTTCAAACTTTGAAAAATCATGACTATCAACCAGTCTGGCAGCAGCATTCAAAACAGATTAAATATCATCGTGCTGAGGCAGCTTTATCCCATAGGCTACATCATCACGTTAGAGAAATCAATGTTATTGCAGGCAAAAGTTTTTGTTGAGTCATCCATTAAATATTGTCTGATTGCTCGCAATTTTTGTCGTTGAAAAAAGCATCGCTTAAAAAATGACAAATATAGGGTTTCATTGAAAGGTCTGATTTCAAAACAAAACCAAGATTTGTTACTGCGTTTATAAAGTTATCTATTTATGTGATGTTGCCAAACAAACACATGTATTGGTTTTTTAAGTTTAGTTTTAGTTTATTTGCGGTCATCAAGTGGCTCAATGCATTTACTTTACCTGTGGCGGCCTCAGCCAGAACGAGCAGCAAATTTCAAAACTTTAATCGAGGATTATGAAGTAAAAACTCACTGTCGAAGAACTTCTTCAAGAAAAACTGGTGAAGAAATATGTAAGTTGAAAAGGATCGCCGGGAATATCTATCAATTTATTTTTGTAATTTCACACAAATAAAATTACATCCTTATTATTATGTAAAAACAATAAGTAAAATATAAGTAAAAAATTAACAAAAACTGCTCAAACAAAAAATTCTAGTTTTCTAATGAATTTGGAAAAAAATTGAAAGTGGACAAATAATTAAAAAATATTAATTAACGCTTTTTATTTTTTACTTTTTAAATTATTTAGCGACTTGGTATTGATCAAAATTAAAGATTTACTGCTACTGCATCGAGTCTAGGTATATAAAAATAAAGGTGATAAAATTGGTAAATGATTATTGTTTTCGGTTTCAAATAGTTGACGAAATAACAGTGTCAAGGTTTAACAAACAGTCGTTGCTAGATTTAGTTTTGGTCGAATAAAAGGACTGGATTGAAGAATTTTCGTATTAATCTATGAGCTAAGTATTGTGATATGTTTGAATTTTGAATATTTCAGAAATGGCATCATGTCATAATTTGATTTTAAGAATGTAAATATGATTTGGCAATACCAAAAAAGGAGACCTTACGGATTTTTCAAACTACCGCACAATAGCCGTCACTACACATTCATGGAAAGTGATGTGCATCCTACAAAGAGTAAAAAGAATAATAACGGAAAACCTGAATGAATAAACAAGCAGGGTTTCGAAGTGATTACAGTATTGTTCAACAAATCCTGATGTTGAGATTTTTAACAGAGGACAGATTATCAAAAAACAGAAATTTGTAAATAGATTTTAAAAATGGTTTATGGGCAAGCAGGAAGGCTATTGGAACCCCGGGTAAATTAACAAGAATTATAAAAAAATTGTACGAGAAATCAGTTATGGCAGTACGGACAAAGGAGAAACTAAGCAGATGGGTTATAGCAACCATAGGCAGTAGACACAGGGGCGTAGCTAGGGGTGGGGCAGGGGGGTACATATGTTCCCGGGCGCCAAGTATAGGGGGCGCCAAAATGAGGCTGACAAAATTTTTACAGCAAAAGTAAAAATGTTATTACAAGCAAAAAAATTATTTATTTACCAAAAAACTTTACATGTCAAAATCAACGATACAGATCAAAAATATGAAGCATTAATAAATTAATAACAAATGTCGTGATAAATTTTGACTTCCCCTTTTTTAACACATAACAACGCTACAATTGATGAGGATGCAATTCGTCTAAATTGTACAAATTTTCAAATTTCTACGACACGGACATCAATGGCTACGAGCTTTTCATCTAAATTGGTGATTGCAGAACGCTGTTCAGTAACCGGACTAAAGCTCTACCAGAAAGTTCTTTGGATATTCTTAGTTTCATTGTGTTTTATGGAAATGATGTATATCCGAATCTGCGAATTTCGCTACAAATTTTATTGACAACAGCAGTTTCAATTGCAAGCTGTGAGCCATCATTCATCAAATTGAAACTTATTTTATCGTATCTGAGTGCATCAATAGGACAAGATCGTTTCAGTGTTGAAAGAGAAACATTGGAAATGACAGATTTGAATAACATAATTGATCAGTTTGCGACAATGAAATCAAGAAAAATAAATCTTTTGTAAACTATGTAAATTATCTTTGACAGTGACTGTTATAATTTGTATATTATATATGTTTATCTTTAAATACATTGTTCAATTGAAATTTGAATTGTTTTTGTAAACAGTAATTTTTACAATTTTAATGTAATAAAAAATGTGATTAAACATGGAGGGGTGCGCCTATTTTATAGTTTGTCCCCGGGCGCAAAACGCCCAGGCAACGCCTCTGAGTAGACAAGAAGATCCTTTATTCTCACTTATGTTCCTGGCTATCTTATAAAAAAGTAATGACACTGGAGGAATTGAAATACAGGGGAGAACAATGAAAGATCTAAGATTTGCTGATAATAGATTTACTGACAGAAACCGAGGAAGTCTTGCAAAAACTAACTACAGAACTTTATAAAAGCGGAAAGAGTTATAGACTAATGATTAATAAAGAAAAAACAAAAGTTATCGTAATGAGAAATAATATCCAAGCTGACTTAAGGATCGATGTAGAAAATATTGAACAGGTAGATCAGTTTGTATACATAGGAAGCCTTATTACAAGAGATAATGATTGCAGCTTAGAAAATCAAACAAAGAATTGGCATCGCACAGGCACGTATGAAGCACTGAATGGAGTATGGAAAAGCACAAAAATATCACTTCAGAACAAACTAAAGTTAATAGATTCGTGTAAGATTTGGCAATGTTGAACATCGGTTGCAAGCCTGTTCCAAGTTTAGAGTCCAAATATCAAAGTATTGTTGCTGTATGTTTTCGTCCTCATCACCGGTAAACAGAATTCATTTGTGTGATTAAATCGCAGGTTATTTGTTGAACTGTAGCTGAAATAACTTGTGTAACATAAGAAGACACATTCTTTTTATACAGTTTATAGAAAAAAGCAATAAATAAAATATATATAAACTGTTTATTGAAAAAATTTCACTTATATTGAAGAGATGGCTAACGTGGTCAAAATTTTTTAAATTAAATAAGACTTAAAAAATACCCCTGACATTTTAATATTAACGACAAATAGGGCTAGTGCCCCAAATAGGTAAACAATATATTAAATAAGGGTAAATTAATGAATAGTACATTATAATAATATAGAATAGATAAATGAATTTTAACTTATTAATGATAACAATCGTTTGAGAGATTTTCTGAGAAATGATGCTTGTATGATTTATCCATGACAAATCAGATTTGATGAACACACCTAAAAATTTTGTTTCTGTTCTTTCAATGACATTGCCATTGGGTAGCCACGAGGAAGTGTTTAGGGTCCGGTTTTTTTTCAATGAACATTTTAACGGCACTGCAGCTCCCAAGATGGTGCCATAATGTGCCAGTAGTTTTAATATTTTTTTTCCTAATTTTTGTTTTATTTTATTTTTTTTCATAATTATTTAGTTCCTATTATTACATCCTCAAAATCAAACACAGCCGAAACGGAAAAATCCGATCACTCCATATCAAGACATCAATCCAAAAAATAAATGGTAATCTTTACTTGAGTATACTTTAAGAGGTAAGGTTGTAATAGTTTATTGCAGTCTTTTTAAGTTGACGGGTAACAGATTCAATAACCCACAGACGGCATTCGACACAACTTTGAGAAAAATATAAAGATTAAGGATGAGGTGGGCTGATTTTCTCTTAGCGGCACACGAGCTTCCACCATGGTATTTAGCCAGAGTAGATTCTCGACGCCCCTAGAAAAAAATGCAAAACTGCACAAATCTTCCCGAAGATATTAGAGTCTCCACCATGGTATTTAGCTGCAACAGATTCTCAACACACCCCGAGCGAACCGTACAGATGTAAAAACCTCATCAATGGCGTTTGAGCCTCCATCATGGTATTTAGCCACAATAGATTCTCGACACACCCTAAAGGATTTTTGATCCTCAACCGAGAGAAATGTTTAAACCTTCTACAGTATCCGAGTCTCCAACGAAGTGGCTATCCACAGTAGATTCTCGACATACTTTCGGGTAAATGTAAATCTTCTTTTTGTCATATCTGAGCCATCAATACGAGGCATGTCCACAGTAGAAAACCTGACACGCCACACAGGATGATTAAGATTTTCCTATTTATATTGGTGAAATGCACAAAGAGAAAGCCACAGACCAGTAAGACCGGCAAACCAGCCCGGGTTCAACCCCCCCAAAACAGCGCCACACCCAGCACCTCCAGCCACAACACAATCCTCGAATCCATATTCCCGTCAGTTATAGAAGACAAGTACTTTATATACCTAA